GCCCCCCTGCCAGACCCCTCAGGGCTCAGTCACTGGGCACAGGGTCCAGCGTCCACACGGTTCATTCATTCAACTCCAAGGACATGCGTGCCACACATGTTCATACGCACACAGGAAAACGTGTGCCCGTGGCCACATACACACGCATGCCCGTGGGCACACTCACAGGCCCCTGCCCTCTCCCACCCCACCCACCAGCCCCAGCCTTGCCCTGGCCCAGGCCCCTGTGGAGTGCCCCCCCACCGCCCAGGAGCCTTCCCCCCAAGAACAAAGGCCTCACCTTGGTGACCCCCCTCCCTGCCCTGGCCCACCCGCACCCCTGGCCCGCGCTACCTCCCACCTCCCAGGGACCACTCCCTGCCTTTCCTGGTCACCTGTGGGCACAGCTGGGGGAGGGGGGGGGAGACCTGAGGATGGTCACAGCCCCACTCTCTGGCTCAGGCCAGGGCCCAGCGCCCGCCCGCTGCCCCTGGCTCCCATCTTCCCACATCTCTCCTCCTGCTTCTCCGGAGGCTTCCCCAACCCCAGGACCATCCCCACGTGGGCCCTGCCTCTGCCCACCCTCTTCCCACCCCCCAGGCCAGCCGCCCCCAGGCCCTCGCTCTATGTGGCCAGCCCTCCTGCCCTCCCACCCCACGGCCTCCCCAGCCTGTGAGCATCTCTCCCCAGGGCCCCTTGGGCACCCACATGCCTCCTCCTCTCCCACCTGTCCTCCTGCGCCCCACGTCAGTACTGACCTCCCCCCTCACACCCAGAAAGGCCCAGCACGGGGGGGGTCTGCAGACCCGTCATTTTTTCTGTAAACATCTAAGTTCTTAACATTGCAGTTGGGAGCTGCATGTGCCCAGCACACGTCCTGTCACGGAACCTCTGCAGCAGCCCATGGAGGAGGCCCCAGGGGAGGCAACTCGGTCCGGAGGGCAGGGGGCAGGGGGCAGGCAGACTCCTCAGGCACCCGCCCAGGACTACACACCCACAGGCAGCGAAGGGGGGGGGGGCATTAAAGGCCACAGCTGTCTGGACCTAATAAATATTTAACTGGGTCCAATTAGCATGAATAAGTTATGGGGGATGGGGGAGGGTCCCCCATCACCTCCCACAGACTCAGGAGTAGGGTGGGAGGAAGCACCCTCAATTCGGTGGAGGGCGGGGAGCACACGGAGCTGAGCTGCTGTTGCCACAGCAACGCCTGCCCCAAGCTCCTGCATGTCTGCCTGGTGTCTCCCCCCGCACCCCGCATGGGCTGACGGAACCAGAGCCTGGGACAGCGTGGACACCCCAGCCTAATGTCCCTCCCGAGGCCACACCCGTGCTCCCCCCGCCCCCGGCCACCTCGGGTCCCTCATCATATCCAGGAGCCAGGCTCTGCCCGAATCCGTATTCACTGGCCAGTCTCAGCGCCTCCTGTGAAAGAGCCAGTGGGAGCGGCCTGGGGCTGTGGGTTCAATGGGCCAACACGTGCAGAGGCTGGGGGTACCCAGTGCCCAGCTGTGAGGCTGCAGCCACGACTGTGGTACAAGAACTGTCATTAGGTTGGCCTCCCTGCCCTGGTTCAAACCACACCTCACCATGTCCACCCACGAGCCCTCTGCACACTGCCCACCTTCCTCACCACCCCCATCACTGCTCTCCTACTCGGCCTCTCTCTCACCCAAGCCCCTTGGACCCCAGGCCCAAACCACTGGACCTGCTGACGTCCAGTTGGCTGTTCTCTCCGGCCTCCACTGGACCTGCTGATCAAGATCTCTCCCAGGGTCCTGACCCCACGGCCAAGGACCTGGGCACCTCACTGACCCCAGGCTCCTCGGCCAGCGGCCGTGCCGGTGCCCTTGGGCTCAGGCCTCTTTCTCCCTCTGGTCACCTGGGTCCAGCCAGACCCCTGCCAAGGTCCCACCCCCTTGGCCAAGGACACCTACTTCCGGGTGACCTGCCAAGACCTGCACCTTCCTCCACAGCCCAGGAATCTGCTTTCCTCTTACGACAGAGCCCTGGGGGAAAGGTGATGAGCCGCTGGGCCCCGGAGCAGTGCACAGAGGATGGAGGGAAGGCAGGGGCTGGGGCAGGAACCGGAGATCTCAGAGACCGGTGCCCGGGGAGTAGCTATGGACTGGAGGTGGCCGAGGGCGGGAGGGGGTGACAGGAGGCCTCTGGGGGGCCATCGAGCTGAGGCCCCACACGGACTCCCAGGTCCCAGCCTTTCCACCTCCCACAGGGAATGAGAGCCTGAGGGGCGGTCTCCCGGCTGTGACGG